GGGAGAAGAGAGAGAGAGAGAGGAGACAGAGAAGAGAGAGGGGGAGGAGAGAGAGAGAGGGGGGGTGAGAGAGGGGGGGCAGAAGAGAGGGGGGGGAAGAAGAGAGAGAGGGGAGAGAGGGGGAAGAAGAGAGAGGGGGGGAGAGAGAGGGGAGGGTGAAGAGAGAGAGAAGAGGGGAGGAGAGAGAGAGAGAAGGGGAGGGGAGAGAGAGAGGAGGGTGAGAAGAGAGAGAAGGGGGGAGAGAAAGGGGGAGAGAAGAGAGAGAGAGAGATGGGGAGGGAAGAGAGAGGGGGAAAAGGGGGAAGAGAGAGAGTGGGGGGAAGAGAGCTAGAGTGGGGGGAAGAGAGGGGCGGAAAGAGAGAGAGGGGGGAAGAGAGAGGGGGGAAGAGAGAGAGGGAGGGGAAAGAAGAGGGGAGAAGAGAGAGAGGGGAGAGAGGGGAGAGGGGGAGAAAGGGGAAGAGGAGAGGGGAAGAGAGAGAGGAGAAAAAGAGGGGGGAGAGGAAAGAGGAAAGGGAGGAGGAGGAGAAGAGAAGAGGGAGAGAGAGAGAGGGGGAGGAGAGAAGGGGGAGAGAGAGGGGGGGGGGTAAAAGAGAGGGGGAGAAGAGAGAGAGAGGGGGAGAAGCGAGAGAGGGGGAGAAGGAGAAGAGAGAGAGAAAGGGGAAAATAAAAGAGAGGAGGGGAGAGGGAGAAGAGAGAGAGGGGAAAGAGAGAGAGGGGGAGAAGAGAGAGAGGGGGGAGAAGAGAGAGAGAGAATAAAGGGGGAGAAGAGAGAGAAGGGGAGAAAGAGAGAGAGGGGGGAAGAGAGAGAGAGGAGGGGGGAAGAGAGAGAGAAAAGGGGGAGAAGAGAGAGAGAGGGAGAGAAGAGAGAGGGGGGGGAAGAGAGAGAGGGGGGAGGTGAGAGAGGGGGAAGAGATAGGGGGGGGAGAAAGAGAGAGAGGGGAGAAGAGAGAAGAGGAGAGAGAGGGGGAGAGGAGGGAAGAAGAGAGAGGGGGAGAAGAGAGGGAGGAGGGGGAAGAGAGAGAGAAGGGGGAGGAAGAGAGAGAGGAGGGGAGGGAGGAGAGAGAGAGGAGGGTGAGAAGAGAGGGAGGAGGGGGGGAGGGGGGAGAGAAGAGAGAGAGCGATGGGGGGAGAGAGAGAGAGGGGGGAAGAGAGAGAGAGGGGGGAGAGCTAGAGTGGGGAAGAGAGGGGCGGAAGAGAGGGGGGGGAGAAGAGAGAGGGGGGAAAGAGAGAGAGGGAGGGGGAAAAGAGAGAGGGAGGGAGAAAGAGGGGAGAGAGGGGAGAAAGGGGAAGGAAGAGAGAGAGGAAAGAGAGAGGGGAGAAGAAAGAGGGGGGAGAGAAGAGGGGGAGAAAGAGAGAAAGGGGCGAAGAAGAGAGGGGAAGAGAAAGAGGGGGGGGGAGAAAGGGGCGAAGAAGAGAGAGGGGGGGGGAGGAGAGGGGGGAAGAGGGGGAGAGAGAGGGGGGAAGAAGAAGAAGAATGAGAGAGAGAGAGATGGGGGGAGGGGGGGGGGAGTGAGGGAGAGGGGGGGAAGAGAGGGGGGGGGAGAGAGAGTGAGGGGGAGAAGGGAGAGGAGGGAGAGAGAGAGAAGGGGGGAAGAGGAGAGAGAGGGGGAGAAGAGAGACAGAGGGGGGGAGAAGATAGAGAGAGGGAAGAGAGAGAGAAGGAGAAGAGAGAGCGGGGGAGAAGAGAGAGAGGGGGAGAAGAGAGAGGGGGAGGAGAGAGAAGGGGGGAAGAGGGAGAGAGAGAGGGGGGAAGAGAGAGAGGGGGGAGAAGAGAGAGAGAGGGGGCGAATAAGAGAGAGAGGAGAGGGGGGGAGAGGGGGGGAAGAGAGAGGGGGGAGAAGAGAGAGAGAGGGGAGGAGACGAGTATAGAGAGAGGGGGGAGGAGAGAGGGGGGGGAAGAGAGAGACTCTGACAAGTAAAGGAGCACTTATCTGGGTCTGTGGTGTCAGCGGCTGCACTGATACCTGACATGCAGCGATGGTCTCCTCTCCTGCACCCCCTCTTCACGGTCAGCTGACCTCTAGGCTCTGCCCTCCAGCCTTATGCAGTGAATGGGCCGGGTGGGCGGAGTATAGCTGCAATGGTCAGTCCAGGTCTGGGCTTCCTGCCGGATCTTAAGTCAGTGGGTGCGGCAGGGAATCAGTGCTCCGGGAAGGCACAGAGAGGGTAAGACAGCTGGCTTGCCATTAACTCAGGATGGCATAAGCCGAGCCCTCCTTCCCCTGCTCAAGACTTGCTGAGCCCACCCCTCTGCTTAAACCCTGCCTCCCACCCGAGCCCTGCCGAGCTCTCTCGACCTGCCAAGCCCTGGTCCCTTTTCCCTTTTTCCTGGGGGTGGTGCTGCCCCCCTGGGCAAATGCCTTGTTTGCGTTTCAGTAGATACGCCCCTGGGTAAGAGTACAGAACAGTGACCATTGGTTTTAACCTGACCATTGATCTTAGCCATTAGTAAATCATTGGTAAGATTTAGGAGAGCTGTTTCTGTGGAGTGTTGTTGATGAAATCCAGACTGAAGGAAATCAAAGAAGGTTATTTTCAGGGAGAAGATAGTAGCTCAGGAGGTTGGAGATTAGGTGGCGTTTAGAGGTAAAAGTGAGCAAAAAGAAGGGTCTTGCATTGTTAAGATTGGTGGGGTCCAGCAAAGGCTTTTTAAGTATGAGGGTGACCAGTGCCTGTTTTAGAGAGTTGGAGAAGATGCCAGTAAAGAGGGAAAGATTGAAGATGTGTGTTATAGGGGTTAGGACAAAGCAAGATGGTGGCCATAGTAATTGCGAGTGAACAGGGTTCAGGGGGCAGGCAGTTAGCTTGGAATTAGAGAAAAGGTTGGTGACCTCCTCTATAGTAGCAGGGCTAAATGAGGTAAGTATAGAGTGTGCATGTAGACATGGAATGTCAGATTGGGGTGATATTTGTATAGTGGATATCTCATCATGAATTGTAATGATGTTATTTTTGAAGTGATTGGCAATCTCCTGGGCAGTGAGTGAGTTAGTGTTTGGAGGTAGTGAAGGCAGAATTGAGTTGATGGAGACTTCATGGGAGGATGTTAATGGCCATGATAAAATATGTCAATAGGAGCACATAATATATCTGACAGATCATACCTGTAAAAAGATTAACACAATGAATGTTGCTATTTATAAACAATGTGATCCTAAACTCTTCTATTGAGAGTAGATTTCACTGTTTCACCTCCAAGTTTGTGTTTACAACAAAGACGCTTGCAAATTCTACACTTGTAATTACCTCTAAACTGTAACCAGTTTTTCCTATTTCCCTTTCGTGTATCTAAATAGCTGGGTGAAAGGTAGTTGCCTTGATCAGTGCACCTAGATATAAGCCTTAAACCCTTCCCCAAAATTTCAGAATAAACATATTCATTAACTAATTGCCGACCGCAGATAGCCGAATGACGGCTGCACTGCGGCCGGCCAGTTCTGGGTGGACGTCATATGACGTCCTCCCGGAACGCGCTCTCCTGCGCCCCCCCGGGGGCGCGCACCTGGCGATCTCCGTGATCGCTGTGTCCAATGACACGCTGATCACCGGGAAAATGCAAATGCCGGTTCTCGGCTGCACTTTCCTCATGCTGTCAGATCGTGAGGAAAGTACTGCCGAAAACCGGCAGTTGTCAGAGCGGGGATCGGCACCGATCATCAGGGTCACTGATCACCAGTGCCCTGATGATCGGTGCCCAGCAGTGCCACATACAAGTTCCGCCCACCTGTGCCCAGCAATGCACCCACCTGTGCCCAGCAGTGCCACCTACCTGTGCCCAGTAGTGCCACCCACCTGTGCCCAGCAGTGCACCCACCTGTACCCAGCAATGCGCCCACCTGTGCCAAGCAGTGCGCCCACCTGTGCCACCCAGCAGTGTCACCACCTGTGCCCAGTAGTGCCACCTACCTGTGCCCAGTAGTGCCACCCACCTGTGCCCACCAGTGCCACCCACCAGTGCCCATCAGTGCAGCCTAGCAGTGCTGCCAGTCAGTACCACCAGTCAGTGCCCAGCGGTTGTGCCAGTCAGTGCCCAGCAGTGCCGCCAGTCAGTTCCCAGCAGTGATGTCAGTCAGTGGCACCTATCAGTGCTGTCTATCAGTACCCATTATCAGTGTCGCCTATCAGTGCCACCAATCAGTGCTGCATATCAGTGCCACCTATCCGTGACACCTCATTAGTGCTGCCTATCAGTGCCGCCTATCAGTGCCCTTCAGTGCTGCCTATCAGTGCCCATCAGTGCCGCCTATCAGTGCACATCAGTGCTGCCTCATCAACGCACATTAGTGAAGGAGAAAAATTACCTGTTTGAAAAATTTTATAATAGAAACAAAAAAAACATTTTTTTTTTTTTTCAAAATTTTTTGCATTTTTTGTGCTTATAGCACAAAAAGTAAAGTGCCCAGCAGCGATTAAATACCACCAAAAGAAAGCTCTATTTGTGAGAAAAAAATGATAAAAATTTCATATGGGTACAATCTTGCATGACCGCGCAATTGTCAATCAAAATGCGACAGTGCTGAAAGCTGAAAATTGGCCTGGTAAATAAGGGGGTATAAGTGCCTGGTAGGCAAGTGGTTAAAGAAAATGGGTCCATATCGCTCAATAAAATTCCCAATTTTATTAAACTCAACACTATAGCTAGTTAAAAACACATCCGTCGATCCGGGTTGGCTTTATATGCCTTACTACTGGATTGCGCCTCGTTCGTGCCCACAGGGCTTCGCTGTGGCGAGATCTGTCACCGGCTGTGTCCGATCTGTGTATCAGCCCATTGCCAGTGCCATGTGACCACTGTGACCAATCACAGCAGGTCACTTGACAATTGTAAACAATGGATGGCTTCCTTTCATGCCATCCATTGTATACAATTGTGTCACTAGCCGTAACTGGTCACAGTAATCACATGGTACAGACTGGGCCAATCACAGCCCATCTGTATCATGTGCAGGGGCGGACTGACCATTTGGAAACTCGGGCACTGCCCGAGGGCCTGGGGTCAGTAGGGGGCCCCATGAGATACCCCTGGTACCTTTTTCATAGGCTTTTTTGAGCTTGGGCAAGGACACAGGGGTCCCATGATCCCCTATTGCCCGGGGGCCCCATGAGTTGTCAGTCCACCCCTGATCATGTGATTAGCTGTGGCCAATCACAGCTAATCACAATGAAAAAACCTGAATGAATTGATTTAATACAATGAAATTCTTTGCTATAAGCAATCATAATGTGTAAAAAAAAAAATACTAATCACTTTCCCAGGGTAGTACAATGTTGTTATGGTAACATTATATTACTCTGGTCACAGTGTGTTGTGAAAAAATAATTTAAAAAAATGTAGCAAAAAATAAAAAAAAATTATTTAAAAATTGTAAAAATCATTTTTTTTCGTACCGTCACCAGTCGGTGTCCCTGATCACCACCACACCAGTTATATGATGATACTGTACTGCACTGGTGACACATTTAAAAAAAAAAAAAAATTAATTAATTTCTTCATTTTTCAAAAATTCCACTTCAAAAAATTTGCCATGCCTCTTGCTAAATACCTTGTACTGTCTACTTTGCAAGAAGGGGTCATTTGGGGGATATCTGGGGAATATTGGCCATCAGTACCTCAGGATTTTCAGATATATACCATAGTTTGTGGGCTCTATAACTTTCCTACAGACTTAATTATAAATACTGATTTGGGTTATTTTCACCAAAGAAATTTAGCAGAATACATCTTGTCCTATATTTCTGAAGAACAATTATTTATTTGCAAATGAAGAAAAATGTTGGGGGGGGGGGTTGTACATTTTTTGGTCTTTTTTCGTTACTTTAGCAAAAACATTTTTAAAAATGCCAGCGGTGATTAAATACTAGCAAAAGAAAGTTCTAGTTGTGTGAACAAAATGATAAAAATATAGTTTGGGTACAGTGTTGCATGACCGCACAATTTTCATTCAAAGTGCGGGAGCGCTGAAAACTGAAAATTGGCCTGGGCCAATTGTATTGAAGTATTGAAGTGACACTTTTGATGTGGAATACTACCTCCAAAAGGTGCAAGGCAGCAAAGAGAGAGATACATTTTCTCCCTCACTTGTAAATTTATATATGGGCTGGTGGGTGAGTACCTGCATTTTTGGAGATATACCAGATTCTAACTGATGACCTGATGCACTACCTAAGTGGGAAGTTTAGATTCATTCTTGTCTTATTTGCATCAGGGGCGGACTGACCATTTGAGCACTTGGGCACTGCCCGAGGGCCCTGGTTCAGTAAGGGGCCCCATGAAATGCCCCTGTTACCTTTTTTATAGTCTTTTTTGGGTGTGCTTTGAGTGTGGGCAAGGACATAGGGGCCCCATGATCCCCTATTGCCCGGGGGCCCCATGAGTTGTCAGCCCGCCCCTGATTTGCATGATAAATAAATTTAAATTGAAAAGTTCACTGGATAGATGAAGGGGGGGGGGGGGGGGGGGGGGGGGGGGGGGGGGGGGGGGGGGGGGGGGGGGGGGGGCAATAAAAGGTATCCCTTTTTGGATGTAACCTTAATATGAGGAGAGGGGCATGTAGTCTCTAGATTGTACAGAAAACCCTTATCTGGTAACAGTATTCTCAGGGCGACTCAGGACATCCCCATCATACTATAAAAGCATTCCTGTTTGTCACTTTCCGAGACTGAGACATGAGACCAACTTTGATACACTAAGGAAAAGTATAAATCTACTGCCAATTAAAAAGTGTTTAAGATCATAATGTTTATAAATTGCCACAGTTGTAAAGTTGGAAATCTTGTCACATGTAAGATTTGTCAGATCCAGTATGTGGATAGAACAACAAGAAGACTCAGGGAGCTGTTGCATGACCATTCACTGTACATGATACTGAAAAGCATTCATCTAGAAATGCAGCAAAACATTTTAATGATTGTCATGGGGGTGATATTTCTAGTATAAATGTTCGAGAAAGTTGTTAACTCTAGGAGAGGTGGAGATGTGTTCCGGTTACCCTGCAAGGCAAGAGATATACTGGATATTTAATATATAAACCAGGATCCCTGGTGGTTTAAATTTTGACTGGAATGTGACCTTTTTCTATAAATGAACCCCCTCCCTTTCAGTGTGATTCAGAACATACAGTATATTTCCCGTGGAGATTGAATTAGGTATATTTTGTGTATATTTTGTTTCAACTGTGTAACAATATTAACTCTTTTTCTCAATGGCTAGTCCTACGTAATGTTTTATGTTAGAGTATTTTATCACTTTTATTATTAATCCTCATGCACACTGGACGTTTTTACAGCTGCTGTTTTAGGCTTTTGGTGTTTTTTTCTACAGCCAGTAAACTCATCAGCATGTTATCCTATGTGTCCATGCACACATACTGCAATCAATGTTTTTTGGCAGGGGCGTTTTTTGGCTGGAAAAAATCCCCCAAAACTAGTGGGCTTCTAGAGGAGTTTTTTAGCTGTAAAAATGCTCTAACGCTGAAAAAACGCGGCAAAGCTTAAAAATGCAGCAAAACGTCACTAAACGCTAATGCAAAAACACTAAAAAATGCTGAAAAATCCATGGTTTTAACATGACTTTACACAGCTAACGTTACCAGCATTATTAAAATGCCCAGTGTGCATGGAGTCTTACTGTTATTATTATATATGATTTATATAGTGCCAATAGTTTGCACAGCTCTTTACAAAATTAAGGCAGACAGTATTGTTACAATGTGATTCAATACAAGAAAAATCAGAAGTCTCTGCTTGTTAGAGGTTACAATCTAAATGGGAAAGTCAAGTGATACAAACGATAATGACTATTGAGTAAGACCTGATAAGCTTCTCAAAAGAGATGGATTTTCAGGGATCACTTAAAGGTGGATAGAGGAGATAGTCGGACAGATTCCGGTAAGGGTTTCCAGAGGATGGGTTAGGCTCTAGAGTAGTGGCGGACTGACAACTCATGGGGCCCCCGGGCAATAGGGGATCATGGGTCCTCTGTGTCCTTGCCCAAACTCAAAAAGCCTATGAAAAAGATACCAGGGGCATTTCATGAGGCCCCCTACTGACCCTGGGCCCTTGGGCAGTGCCCAAGTTTCCAAATGGTCCGTCCGCCCACCCCTGCTCTGAAGAAATCCTGGAGACAAGTTTGGGAGGAGGTGACAAGGATGATGGAGAGCAGGAGGTTTTGAGAGGCGCGAAGAGAGTGCTTTTATAATTGAGGCCTGACATCCACCAATGATATTTAGCTCAGCAGTTAACATTTTAATTTATTTTTTTAAAGTTTAGAAGGACAGACAGTAGCAGGTGGATATGCTAGATACTGTGATCTATAGTGTGAAACGAGTTAGAAGTCTCATTTCTCCTTTTGCTCTATGTTATGGATATATTACAATAACAGAGTAATTTTGATGGAGTGTAGTCATCCATTTATCTACTATATATATATTTTCAGTTGAAAGCTGGATTGGATAATAGCATTGAGGATTTTGACCCCAAGATTAACCATGCCATGCCTCCAACTGGAAACATTTAGCAAAATTGTTTTGGAATGGGACTTTTAAGACACAGATATCAGTACACAGATTATAAAATTTTTTATTCAACAAATCTCATTAAAATCACATAAAAACAAGAATACAGGTATAATAGTGATTGAGATGAAATTTAACACATTTCAGGATGTTTTCTTCTTCAGGGTAACTGAGGAAAATACATACACTGAAAAATATTATTATTATTATATTTTTATACAGGATTTATATAGCACAAATAGTTTTCACAGCGATTTACAAAATAAAGAGAGACAGCAACAATACAATTCATGCAAGAGGGTTTGGAGGGTCCTGCTCCTGGGAGTCTACAATCTAATAGGGCTAGAGCAACAAAAGGTAATAACTATGAGGGATGAACTAATGGGAGAAGTAAATAATTCAGTTGTTAGCTGAAGGCAGGTATCACGTACCTGGTGATGGAAGCCAATGGAGAGAGGGCTTCCCTTGCAGCTAAGTTCCAGACTCCCCTGAGAGTGTGACAGCGGGAGTCAGGCCCAAAGTGGCACAGGTCGCCTGTAGGAGTGCTGGTTGGTGGTCCACCCAGAAGCACAGCTGATGTACGGAGATAGGTCTGCAGACAGGTGGCACCTGTGTGAGGTATGCAAGCCCTTCCGGGATTTAGAGATTTACTGGATAGCCGGTTCAAGCCGAGGTCAGGTACCAGGTGGAAATCAGAGCAGACGTATTCAGATGGGATAGCCGAGGTCATACACAGAAGAGGGAGAGGGAGTATCCGTAAGCCAAGCCGAGGTCAAATCAGGGGTTAAGCAGAGTAGACAGGTCCAAGAGCAAGCCGAGTCGGTATCAGGGAAAAAACAAAGGAAACAGGAACCAGGAACAAGGCACGGGGAGCTAGAGATCATCCAGAAACTTGAGGAAGTGATCAGCCTCCTTATAAAGGCCGTCTGGCAGCAAACTGAGGCTTACTTTGTGCTTTTGCGGCCATGTAGTTGGGTTACTGGCAGAAATGCCAGATCTTCCAGAACTTCTGCCGTGGACAGGACCCTGAAAGCAGGATAGGCTTCCCTGAAGTGACAAGTTTTCAGGGATCACGTAAGAGTGGACGGAGTAGGAAACAGATTGGGTTAGGTAGTTCCAGAGGATGGGAGAGGTTCTGGAGACAAACATAGGAGACAGAGACAATGAAGCTAGAGAGCAGAAGGTCTTGGGAAGAGCAAAGAGGGAGGTTTGGGCGATATTTGGAGACAAGATTGGTTTTCTAGCTTGGGGCAGAGTTGCAAATGGCTTTGCATGTTGATGTTAATATTTTGAATTTTATTTGTTGGGCAATGGGAAACCAATGGAGGGATTGGTAGAGAGGAGTGGTGGCCACTGAATGGTTGGTAAGGTGAATGAGTCTGGCAGCAGCATTAATGATATACTGAAGAGATGATAGCCTGCGAAGAGGTAGGCCTATGAGAAGGGAGTTACAATAGTCAAGGTGAGTGACAACAATCAATTGTTTCAAGAGTTAAAAAGGGGGCATATTTTGGAGATGTTATGATGGCGAAGTCTTCAAGATTTGGGCAGTGATTGGATTTGGAGCTGAAAGGACAGGTCAGAGTGCAG